TCTGTTTGTTTTGTTTTCAGCCCCATTTGCAGTGAAGGGTGTCTCCCACTCAAGCCTGCCATGTATTTAAAGACTGCCAAACTGCCTGGTCTCATGTCGGATTCCTGACTTTGCTCACGGTCATGCTTCAAGTGTTGTTTTCTAGACCTCGCCATGGTCGCTCTCGTTGTTCATGATCTTTTGCTTTGCGTTATTGTTTATGCCTCGTGTTGCCTAGTACCTTCCCTTTTGCAACCGCTTTTGTTGATGCATTGTTTTTCCTGGCTCCTTGCGGTCGTTACCGATTGGACGATTTCGAATCTTCTATGAACAAAAACATGTATGTTTTTGGAATGAGGAAACCGATGCAGAGCCTCAGTAGAATGGCTGGAGCTAAGATTCTAAAACGGAACGTCTGAACTGTGAGGCAGATGTAGTAGTTCATTACGTCACGACACAAAGTATTAATTTAATGAGTATTTGTATAACTTGTCTCATGCTATTGGGGCTGTAAATAACTACTTCAGTTAGTTAGTGCCTCGCCATTTTTTTCCACTATCGAAACACCACAACATAACAAGATACCGAAGGAGACTGCAGATGTCTGTTTTGCCCTATTTTCCTCCAACCTGCTGGTAATATAAACAGCAGGCAGGCCGGGATGAGAATCGAGCGCTTGACATCTTTAAAGGGAGAGACACTAAGAGGGCTGAAGCAGTCTTCCGAGTCCATCACATATCTTAATTACCGTCGTCCCGAGGACCCAGCCGGTTAATCAGTACTCCACTTGTGCAGCAGGCAGGAGACGCCGCTGAGCACGAGCAGATGGAAGGAGTGAGCTAACCTCCTTCCGCCATAACAAACCAGAGCAGCGAGCGCTCAATGAGGCCTTACTTGGCAATGTGGACTACATAACCTTGCTCAGAAATACAAACTCTTATGCTGTCTACCGTACCTCTTTTTTGTTTTTTTACAATCAATTGATACAACTTAATTCGTAAAGATGGTAATTTGTAAAGAGGTTAATGGGAACTGGGAATGCAAGTAAAGAATCAGTTACGGTGCAGTTACGTTGTAGGAAATGTGTTATATTGAACGTCATTGCTTCTGGGTAAAACAGAAGATGAAATCTGACACATTGAATCTGACATGCAATTAATTATGTTTTAACTCTTATTTGGAGAACCATGTGATTGAGAGAGTGAGAACAGGTCATGATGAATAAAAACATAGTAGGAATGTAGGTAAATGATTATTTTTGGTCGGCGCAAATTTGACAACAGTGTTTATTATTATTTATACAGTACTACCTTCAGCTTTCTGTTACACACTCAGAAGCACAATCGGCTAGCAGACACAGACAACAGAACACCGGCACACTGTCTTCGGCCTTCTTTCATTCTTCAATAGATTTTATATCAAATTCAATCAGAATTCTAAATTTAAAGGCTTCTGCGCCGCTATAGTGATTTGCAGAGTTTGGAGCAAGGCAAATGAAGTTCTATCATTTTGTTTTTCATATATTAGTGTATGACGTGCTCAAATAGTTCCCCTAGTTGTTCTGAGCCCACGTTGTTTTCTGTTTTGTTATTAAGTGACGTTTTGACAACTAAAACGTTGTAGTGACTTCTGTGTACATAATTCACCACCAACTGCAAATGTGTGAATGCAATGTTCATATGCTTGTCAGAGAGTTCACGATTATTTGGTAACGGGGTAGAAATAATTGCAGTCCCTTTAAGGACCGCCATTTTAGTCTGCTTGTTTCTATGGAAACTTACTTTCGGCGGGCTTCGTTTGGCACGAGTGTTTTTTTTGTGGTGCAAATAAAAAAAACACGACACACTCTCTCTCGGAGTGCGCACGTGAGAAATTGTCGCTTTCTTCGAGTTCTACAATTTCCACAACGTTTTACATGTTAACTAGTAAGCGTTTGTTGCGCAGATAATTGTCGGCGACCGAGTGCGACTTCTCCTTTCCTCTTCCCATATTGTGTTAAGTGTAATTTCCTTTCAGTTTTGCTGTACACAGTTGTTCGTGTTATTTTTCATTCAGTCGATTGTATTATGAAAGCGAAACCGCAGTTCATCGCAGCCGCCGTTCACTTTTGTGACGCACTCGGCTCTGCTGCGTGTGGTGTGTTCAAAGACACTTCGTAAACGAGAGCGACTATGTTCTTTTTCTCTTTTACCGTACCTGTACTGGGATTATCATTTTCATCATCATGTTTCAGTTGGAATTCCTGTACGAGGACACATATTTTAACAGGAGTAGAGACAATGTTGTGTTCGTAAGCGGAGTTACGAGGAATGCGGTGTGATAGTTGTCCGAGACCTAGTGTGACTTTACCGTTTCTCTTGCCATATTGCATTGCCGTGTTACATTAAAAACTGCCACACTCCGTAGTAAAAGGGAGACTTACCAGAGGCATCTAAGCGTAACTGACGACACAAACTGCAAATAGCACCGTCTCACCGTAAACGCATACAGCATTAATCTGCTCAGTGCTTTGGTGCTTGCCTTTCTGCGAAGATATGTGCCAATGAGGATCAATGCCAGTATATTATTAGCAGGGACACCAACACAGCTAATCGTTCTAACTTTCTACAAAGTAGGATGTTCTCTGGTGGACACACACACACACACACACACACAAACTGACCTCAATCTTCCCTCCTCTCTGGACACAGGTTCTTGATGAAAGAGCATCACACCGTGGTTCAAATCATGTCACCGGTAATAGACTTTTGGATTTCGAGTTCACCACTTAAACATGATCATTCCACAGCACTATGTGAAACGATCATAGCAGCCAATTTCAGATAGATACTGTTTGCAATGACCTCACATAGCAAATGGAACTACAGACAAGTGATTGGAAGAGATCATCAACTCGACCTGCTAGAAATGTGTGATGAGCATGAGCTGGAGGCATGAAAAGAATGTTTCCCTAATATACAAAACACTGCAGTGTATGTGCCTCTTTCGCTACTGGTGTGACAAAATTGCACTTGAGATTACACACCAACCTTCGCCGACTGGAATGCATCGAAGGATGAAACCAAATCGTTTCCGGCAAACAACTATGAAATAAGTCTCAAGAGGGAAATTGCTCTTTTGATGCAGCACCAGATCGTCTTTGGATGGTGCAAAACACACTTTGGAGAACGAGTGGACCAGGAAGTGGGGGAGATTGCGCCTGGGACAATGCTAGAATGAAGATGCCTTCCTACCTTTGGTGTATGAAGATCAGATTGCCGCTGACTTTAGGCCATGGCCCCAAGGATGTCATCATGTTGTGAGTTAAATAAATGTTAATATACTGTACAGGTACTGTATACCGAAATAATCTATATATTCTAAAATTGACTACATCTGTATACTGTATGTACATCCATATATCCAGTATATGAATACTAATAAAATGAAGATTACCTGTAACCAGTACACTTTTTTTTTAAATAACTAAGTGTCATGTTCTTGTGTCTCCAGCAGGTGGCAGTGGTGGGCTTTTCCTCCAGCGTGCACATCTGCTGCCAATTTGATCATCATGTTAAGCTAATTGGCGGCCCGGTGATCAAGTGGTTAGCGCGTTGACCTCACAGTGCAGAGGTCGTGGGTCCGGCCTTCCTGTCTGGAGTTTGCATGTTCTCCCCGTGCCTGGGTGGGTTTTCTCCAGGTACTCCCGTTTCCTCCCACATTCTCAAAACATGCATGGCAGGCTGAGTGAACACTCAAAATTTTCCATGGGTGTGAGTGTGAGCGCGGATGGTTGTTCGTCTGTGTGTGCCCTGCGATTGGCTGGCAACCGGTTCAGGGTGTCCCCCGCCTACTGCCCGAAGACAGCTGGGATAGGCTCCAGCACGCCCCGCGACCCTTGTGAGGATAAAGCGGATCAGAAAATGGATGGATGTACATTGAGTATGCCACGATCCCATGTCGCTTGTCTGATTATTGACCTTGTTGCTGCTCTAGCTCAGGTGTTGTTTTTGAGACCTCTCGATCTCATCATTGTCGTTTTGCGCTCCAGTCTCTTACTTTTTAAGTATTCATGAGTTTTGTTTTTTTTTGTCTTTGAACTTGCTCATGTTTTTGTGAAATTGACCTTTTCTCAATTTTTTTGAATCCCAGTTTCTTTTTCCTTGCTTTTGCAAGCACTTTTTGTTAATGTGAAGTTTTCCTGGTTGTTTTGACCAGCGATTTCTGGGATGCAATCGCCATTCAGTTCGTTCATGAACTGTGTCAAAAGTCTTTTAGATGAATATTATAGTGTACATGTACAAGATTATGCAGTTTTAAAAAAATTAAAGTACATCAACATATAATCAATGTCATCGCTGTTTATTAAAACCGTGGCTTTATCTGTAACCTTGGAAAGCTTAGAATAAAGTTTGTGATTATGATGATGATGATTTTTTTTTTTATTAACTGTATTCACATTCTACCTATAAACTCATCTACAAAATATAGACCACTGAATTTTGGTGACAATAGGAATAAAGCTTCCAATTTGTTTTCACTTTTTGCACTTAGAGTCTAATTGCATTGTTCATAATGGCTACTTTCTTCTTTATGTTGTTAGGACAGAATTACTGAACACTGGGACTCGTAAGCCCTGAAACAACCGAACAAAATTAGGCTGTTTCCTAAGACAATAGATGCTAGTGCTAAAGCTTTTATTTTCCTTTACATAATCATGTCAGTATTCCATGTGCTCCCCTAACTCGCGACTGTATATTCGCCTGCCTAGCCTCAAACTACAGCCAATCCTGAGAAGACCTCCGTGGAAACTGCTACCTCTCATTTTAATGCAAGATAATGTTAACTGACTCATCGAACTAATCAGCGGAATCACAGCAGCTGTTATTGAGTTTTAGAAGAGGGTTGATTTTCAGCCAACAGATTTGAATACATTGACGAACATTCTTTTCAAGTACTTTAGCGGTGGTCGCGTTGACTTAGATTGAGCCGGGTGTCTGCTGCAGCCAAATAATAGCATGAAAAACATTAGCGCACATCACCTCATCCAGATTGGTGCCATTTACATTTGTTCGAATCGCCGCCTCTTTTGCTGTTTCCACTCGTTCAGAGTTTCCCTCAGACGTTCTTTCTCGCTCATGAATGTTTGATGATGCTGCTCTCTCAACATTGGCTGGAGAGTCTAAGGTTGCACTGTGTACTTGTATCGACTTAAAACTTCAAACCGATGGCTAAATGTGAATCTCGTTACTTCAGGTACTGTAACTACTGCTTAAAAATTATATTTTCAATATCCTATCCTCACACTGATCCAGCCAAAAACAAAAAACAAAACTTAATTGAACTGAGATATTGTTGCGTTTTACAGCCAAGCAATATTAACCCTTTCGGGGATAGCGGTCACTGCAGTGGACAGCTTATCATGTTATCAGGTTACATGAGGCATGAAAGGGTTAACCTTGCTTTACTTTTTGTGACATTTTACTTTCATCCTGCCCATGAAGCTTCTCCCACTTATGTGTCAAGAGGCTACGACATCACATTTCTATTTTTTTTTTTTTTTTTGTAAACTTGCTTCGACGTACATGCGCAGCTACCACTTCCTGCCATCCTGGCACCCCAAGGACTGTCGGAAAGAGCCATATGTCTCCTCTGCATCGTCACAGCATCCGTCTCCATCATGCACTTTGCTTTTATATTGCAGCAGGAGCAGGAGTCCACGCCCGCAGGCACATTTAACCCCAAGGAACAACCTTGTCAGCATTCTTGTGTGACTTTGCTTATTTATTTAAAGTTGTAGCATAGGTGCAAAGTAATTTATGTTGGTTTTATTTGTGTTGTTATTAATTTGATCAGCGATAATCAGTTGAGGGAGACACATGGGAGACGCGACAATTTTCTGATTGAAGTGTGCTTTCTTGAATGCCAAAAGATAGAACAAACATTTCTCAAAAATGAAGTTCAAACAATACAATTTTCTTTAATGAGCCAAGCTTAGTCTATCGCGATCCTAGGATCATGGACTAGTCAAGTTATACTTACAGTAAATATTTGTCTGAAAAATATAACAATCAAATGGAAAAAAAGAAATACTGACACTCAAGTCAAAAAAATAAAAATGAAAAACTGGGAAAAGCAGAAATACTGTAATAAGTCACTTTGTAATTTTTAAGTATCCTACGATTAATTAATTCATTGATTAAGATCAGAATGCCAGCACTCTATTTTGAGGAGTAGAAAGGTTGTCTTTTCCAGTTTGGAGAGTAGGCACACTATTTTGACCGAAAACAAAACAAAAAAAAGTATAACTTTCAACAAAACTGAGAATGTAAAAAGCCTCTTTTGACAAAGTAAGGTGTAGAAAGGTTGTCTTTTCCAGTTTGGAGAGTAGGCGTGTCCATAGTCCGGCGCAGGAACAATTGCGGTCCCCTGTTTAAATTTCCACCAGACATCAACATCTGGCATAAAAATAATAAAGTTTGGCCCATCAGCACTGTTAACCACAGTTGATAATACATCTGTACAAAAAAGCTATTTTATATTTTACCAGAAGATGGCAGCAGACCTGTCGGCGCGGTCTGCTTTCGGACCAAGCGCACTCCGCCTCTCCGAACTAGGCACGCTCATTGCTTCGGCCTCAGAATAAATTTCCGAATGTGCCCCTATCTTGAAAATCCTCATGTAGCCCTTTCGCCCTCATTTCTAAAATGAAGATTGTAGTGTATAAAAAGAAAGTTGACGGAGAGCGCTGTCGCTTCCAGGAAAATTAGAAATTGGCATTTTTTTTCACTGAAATTTGAAAAAATTGTGTCTTCCTAATTTGCCAGGAGCCTGGGGCTGTTTTCAAGGAATTCAATATCAAGAGACAACCTGAAATATGTAAACTATGACAAGGTGACCTGATCAAATTTGGTCCACTTTGCAAAAAGTTGGACGCCCTTAAAAAAAATAAAGCATCTCAGTAAAGATACCTAAAAAAATTCAAAACAGTAATTAAGTATTTGTACTTTGTTACTCCCCCACATTCATAACCTCATAATGTCACACAAAATGTTTGTACAATCATAAACCGAGGACCCCCTCGGTTTGCATCCTTTTCCAGATAATTTCGTTTCAGCAAAATTTTGTTACATCAAACCCTCACTTCAGGTGTGCCTCAGAGCTCTGTCCTGGGGACCTAGCTTTTCAACATCTACTCCGCTACCCCCACTCAGAACAGAATGGCTACTAATGGTCAACTACTTAATGTTTTTAAACTTTCATGAAATTAATTTTAAAAAAAATCTAAACTACAATGCTGGATGGTAGGTGTGTGGTATAAATGATGTATTCAATATAAGGCATGAATTTGCCCGATGGGAGAAATTTTGCCCCTCCTGGCCAACCGTGTTAATGTATTTTGACTCTGTCTCTCTCTCTTCATGTTCACTGTGCTCAGTGTGAAAGCAATGCCATAAATGTATGTCCAGCCCCAAGAAGAAGTGGACAACTACCTAAATAAATCAAGTTTCAATAACCTTGTGGAGGTGCTTGTTGCACATTATTTGTGTGGAGCCTCCGCTAACCAACGAGCTGCGACTGGAAAGCAAATGTGGCTAAACATTATGGCAAAAGTTTCCTTTTGCCTACATAGCATAAATCACTTGTCATCGCCTCCATGGGAGCAAAAACATCATGGGAGGGCAAGTAGTAAATTCGGCGAAAGTCAGCAAAGCTAATTGCTAAGCTATCAAAATGCATTCGCAAAACACCGAAATAAGTGCTTGCATGATACAGTCTACCCGTCACAAATGTTTATCTTGAACCGAGTTACAGCAGAGAGTAAGCAACTCCGAAAAGCAAAATAGCAGGCAATAAGTGACTCAAGAGAAAGTAAGCGCAAAGAAACATATACAGCAACCAGAAAGCTGAAATTAAGTCGCTACGTCACCGCATACATCAGCTGAAAAGAGGAGTATATTCCGGTAATATAATAAATACTTAAAACAGCAGCAGCAGTGGAGACAGGAAATTAAAATTCAAAACTATTATCCGTGCAGATATTATCCAACTCAATCTATCAGCAATGTTATTTGTCATTTGAGCGCCGAGTTGTTATTTTGATGGATGAGATCTGATGAATCTAATTGAATGCACTTGCGTTCTGCGGTTGAAAACAGAATCGGTAATGGCTAATTAGTTCATGGACACACATATTTGAATGAATTCTAGTAAACTAAATGAAAGCCTGTTGTACGGTGTTTCCATTTAAAATACTAGATGTTATCCTAATTAATCTGACTTCCATTATTTTTTGGAGCAATTTAGCTTCTCGAATGGAGTATAGAATTAAATCATACAGAAGTGAATTATTTATTAAATTAGAATGAGTTCAATTTTTTTTTTTTAACCTTAATTTTATATCGTGACATATATCCTTATTGTGGAGGGACGCGATTGATGAATGATTAATTTTGGGCCACATGGACCATCTCCAGTAGAGGGCTTTACCAGGGCTACCCAGATTTATGATGGAGCTATAGCACCTCCTAGCTCCCGGTGTGTGCTTATTATAACTGTAAGTAAGAAGTTATCTCCCACGGAAAGCTAATATTAAGCTCAAAATTTGACTTTGAATAACTCATAACAGCAAGTAGATTTTTTTAAGAAACCTTATGGAATTTTTGGTGGGATACGTGTGAGAAAGGTAATACAATAGCCATTTTGAAATGTTTCATTTGTCTTTATATTCGAGCTGCTATATTTGTAAGCTTATGTTATATTATTAGCTATCACTTTATGTTTGAGCATCATATTATTTCATGTCAAGATTACCTAAATTGCATTCTGTTGTTTAATAATTGCTTAGACGTGTTTTTTATGTTGATAGCTTCTGATTGGCTGTTGAAGTAAGGGAAAGCAGGAAGTGATTTTTGTTTCCGACAGTGTGGTTTCGATCGTACTGCGGTGCAGATATCCTTTTTTTTCTTCTTCAATAAAGCTGCGTTCAAACGGAATCTCTCCTTTTGCCGTTTCGTGAAGTAGAGCCATCCATTCAAAAACTAAACCCCTCAACTTACATACTCAAGGGTCATGAATGCACTCTCACTTGTACTTTCAGCACGTGACTGCTTATTGGCTGCAAATGCTGATTTGATTTCAACGTGTCTATGTAGGTCAGAGTTGTGGAAAAAAAGTAAATACGGTGGACTGGAGATACTTTAGAATTACTTCACACACTTTTGCCCCACTTCTAATCCTCTCTGTGGCAAGTCCACGAGTCGCAAAATGATTTGAACACATTCGTGATCAGTCTTAAGAATGTTATTTACTTTGGCTGCAACCAAGAACAAAACTGAGCATCATTCGTTTGAAATGGCAGACTACTGTATTTGATGCAGCTCTTGTAATTGATCGAATGAGACTGTGTAGGCGTTGCTAATTTTGTGTCTTGCATTGGAAACACAAAGGGAGCAATGATGTGCATTTTTTGTTCGAGAAATATACTCACTATAATTATCGGTTCATAAAGCCTGACACGAGTGTTTTCAGCAGCGCTCAGTTCCCGCCCCCTGTAAGAATTTTTTTTTTTTCAGGTTTGTAGTGCGGTACAATAGTGGCCCTTGAGGCATGTTGCGTGTATGTTGCCACGGTTTCATCAGAACTGAACAATATTTTAGATGTGCCTCTAACTGCGGTTTGTGCTCATGCATAAGTGTCTTAATCGTTTTATCCTCTTATTGGTGGAGCTGATCACTCGCACAAGTCACAAAGTCAAACCTTTCCATGAATTTGAAACGCAGACACCCCATGAATGTAAAAATCTACAATATGACAAAAATGGAAATCGTGTGTTTTTGTTCATTTTTTTCCACAGGACAACGACAATATGGCGCATTGTTGTACAGAAATGATGCCCGTTACGGAATTTACAGCTAAATCCTGTCCCCAAGGATTAGACATAAAATAATTATATTCGGGGTTCAATTTGGCTGAAAGTGAAAGCTAGAAGACTCATTTTTACAAAACATAAGACGCCGGGATGATGTAATGTTGCGCATTTGCGGCGTATTACCCAATTACGTTCGGCCTCTCGATGAATGATGATTCACTTGAGGCAGCTGACATCTTGAGTGAGCCTCTTTAGTGTTAATGTGCACTTGGATGCAAACTGGAACAGAAGCCCAAGAACAGTAAATGGGAGAGACGGACGTAGCGGACAGGCTATCTTAGACCACAAAGAGTCCAAAGTGGGAATTTGACAAGGGGAGAGAAGGAGGCAAATCTTAATTCTTTGTGACAAGCCTTCATTCATTGCACCAGGTTAACCAACACACTCAAAGGTCTATTTTAGTTCTATACTGGCTTCGGCAATAATAGTCATGTCATTTCACACCATTGTATAGTACCGTATTTCGTATTTTCCGCACTATAAGGCGCACCTAAAAGCATTCACTTTTCACAAAAGCCCTAAAATCCGATGCACATTATGTATGTCACAGTCTCTTTATATTCCCCATTGAGTTCTTTCTGTGAAAAACAAGTTACAGTATATCAAAACCCACCTATTTAAAATTGCATACTCCGTTTAAACTCATCGCTTCTTTTATTTATAATTTTATCTGTGGTTTTATTGCTCTTGTTTGATTGTAAGGTGTCCTTGAGTGTTTTGAAAGGCGCTTATAAATAAAATGTATTATTATTATTATTATTATTAAGAGCTCATTCGCAACTTTCTTGTTTGAGTCTTATCTCATTGTAAGAGTGTACTCCATGCATGTACAGCACCACACTGCCCCAGCGTGGCCAATGTCCTTACTGCAGGAACAGCTGGTATTCATTTTCACTTTATTATATTTTCAAATAGCTATTATTTTACTATATTATTATTTTACTTTATTTGTTTTTTCTTTCAAGTTACTTAGTAAAGTTTAGTTTTTTTTATTTGTCATACCAACACAGATTTCCAATGATAAAGCGCACAAATTTCAATACTCAAGGTCCCAGATTAATCCATTAAATTTCGAGAATTGTCCATCATCCATCCATTTACTGATCCGCTTTATCCTCACAAGGGTCATGGGGGGGTGCTGGAGCCTATCCCAGCTGTCTTCGGGCAGTAGGCGGGGGACACCCTGAACTGGTTGCCAGCCAATGGCAGGGCACACAGAGACGAACAACCATCTGCACTCACACTCACCTAGGGACAAATTAGAGTGTTCAATCAGCCTTCCATGCATGTTTTTTGAATTGTGGGAGTAAACCGGAGTACCCGGAGAAAACCCAAGCAGGCCCGGGAAGAGCAAGCAAACTCCACACAGGGAGGCCGCAGCCAGGATTGAACCCACGACCTCTGCACTGTGAGGTCGACGCGCTAAGCACTGGATCACCGGGTCGCCCCCTAGAATTGTGAAAATAAAAAATGAACAACAAACTCGATACAATGAAGAGATAAAGGAGATACTTCTTCACGGTTTGAATGTGTCCAAATATGGAATGCAGCAAAGGTGTGAGTGCCGTACAATGAAAATTGCAAGAGCAGCTGAGGTGAAACCAGGCACCAGCCACAATTTTCTCAAATTCACATATCAAAAAATAAATAAATAAATAAGAAACAACAAACAAACAAACACACACACACACACACACACACACACAGAACTTTCATTGTAGAAAAAAAAATAAATTATTTGACAGCTTGGTTTAACACGACTGAGAATCAGCCAGTTATGATCAAAATAGCACATTTAATTTATTCTTAATTCCTCACTGCAATGAATTAAATAGTTTCTGTTTCAATGTATTCTTTCAAAATATGTATAGAACCTTTTTTTTAATATAGAAGAAACTTTCCATTTCCCAGTGGGAGACCAAGTCGGCTGTATTAAACAACAAGGAACTGAACATTTTATCATGTCCAAATTCAATTGGTCATGCCCAGTTGAAGTGAATACGGCACGTCAAGCTGAAATCCCAACTCTAGGAATAAATAAATAAATAAATAAATACAACAACACAAATGAAACACTGCCTCGGGTTCTCTGCTGCTGAGAAACAAATTAGTTCTGGGAATCAAACAACTTCAATTCGGAGTGTGGTGTATTGCTCTACTCGGGGAAATGCACTTTCATGCTTCCAAAAAAAAAAAAAACATCGTAAAAGATAAATTGGCCTAGCGGAAGTCAAAGTTGTACTATTACAAAAAACAAGCCTGAGTGATTGGCACGGGTATACAAAGAAGGATATTTACATGCAGTGCTACAAGTAAAATAAAAGAATTCACAAAAGAATCAGACCAAATCAAAGTCAGCGAAGGCCCAATTATCAAATGTCCAAAAAATTTGCCTCAGTAAGTATATTGTGCAGTGTCTTGAGACTGGTTTTTCCTCCTCATTCGGGCCTATCACTTCAATATTTAAATCATAAATCTTTATTTTGTTTGGTCATCATTGACCAATCTGTGATTGTGACATGAAACAAAGATCGTCAATTAGTAAGCAGTGGTGGCTAACCAATACATGGTGCCAAACACAAAAAAAGTGGGAATGCACAAATGAAGCTTCATGAAGCACCTGACAATATTTTACTCCTCTAGAGGGCACTCTTGGTTTAAAGATACAGTGGAACTGAAATACATTTCCATTGCACTAAACTTTATCATTAACCAAGAACACCATCTGGAGGAGTCCAAAAACACAAAGTGTTTCATTAAGCTTAATTTTCTCATTAGAAGTAAAAAAGCTGTGTGTTTATTATTTTCATCAGCTTGTTCCCCAGTTCCAAAATCCCATCTGCGCCCCTGCCGCCTCTGTTGCTGGAAACAAATAGAGAAGCAATTGGCTGTGTCGAGCCTATGTGAAACATGTCCCTCGAGTCATTCGCAACATGAAAAAAAATTACATGAGGCCGTGATTGCAATGGTAATGTATACCAGCTAGCAGCTAGCGTAGCATCTTCAACTTCAACTACTCTTTTCTTCTTCTTTGCATTTTAAGGGAGTCTGGATGCATTGGTTTGGTGGAGGGGGCTGGCATTTGCTGCAAAGGTCCACCCCAAAAAAATGAATAAATAAAAAAATTCATTTCTCAAAAGATGATTTGGTCTTTTACATTCATTAATTAAGAGTGCACTTGATAGCTATGCAGAATGGAACACAAATACAGTCGAGCCGTATGGTATGTACACTCTAAAACAGATGTCCCCAAACTACGGCCCGCGGGCCGAATGTGGCCTGCCTGCGCATTTTGCGCGGTCCGCTGAACAATACAGAGATGCATTTTTTTTTTCCCCCAAGTCTGGCCACGATGCATTTTTTTTTTGTTTTTTGTTTTCCAAGTCTGGCCACGTGTTCGAGACTTGTACATGCATAGAACGTAGCATTCTACTCTTTTGCAGTATGTCCCCTATCAGAAACCCTTTCCTCAAAAAAATGGATAAAATCCGCAAAGTACCCCTGTCAAATAAAAAAATGGACTAAGGGCGAAAAGATTAGGAAAGAGAAAAAAAATGATTGGTTATTATTTATTTCATAAAATGTGCCTGTCAAGAGCCCAGAAAGGGTTAATATCTGGTATGTGCGGCTTTTTGGAAAACAAATGTTGATGTCTAGACACCTCCTGCCATCATCACACTTTTTGTTACAAACCGAACCCGGCCCCCATCACATAAGGGAAAAGTTATTTGGCCCTCACAAGAAAAAGTTTGGGGACCCCTGATTTACAGAGTCCATTTAGCCAATGGATGCAATGTGCAACATAACCACAAGATGGTAATACACAGGAGGAGGTGCTAGTAAAGTGCTTTTCTAACCAAACCAAGCCACCTTGTCTTTCCTCAGTGACACTACAAAAGGACAATATATTAACCCTTTCAGGGACGGCGGTTACTACAGTGGACAGCTTACCATTTTACCACACGAAAGGGTTCATTAGAACGACAGAAGTCTTGATACAGAAACGTGTGGGGGATGCCGAAATGCACTTGCCAAAAATAAATAAACTAGCATTAATATTTCGGGACTTGTTTCCAAGTCTTGAGTTGTGAAACCACCTCATTAAAGTGGAAAAAAAAAAACACCAACGCAAACTCATTCTGCCCACAAAATAGTTTTTAATTGATTGTTAAAAATAAGGCGAGAGATGTAGGAGTACATTTGTGTTTGTGTACTGCAAACTGGGATTGGAAGAGTCCCTGGCAAGTTTCTGACTTGAGAAGAGTGTTTGGACAAAGTGCTCAGTATCAGAAAATCGCTTTATGTAGATCCGAGGAGGGAGAAGAGTGTTTGGACAAAGTGCTCAGTATCAGAATGTTGGATGGATGAAATTCCTTTGCCTTTTTTTTTGTCTATTTTTAGAAAACCTCTTGCTGAGGAAACACCACACATCCCTCTTCTCCCTGCAGATATTTTTGCATAGCTCAGTAAAGTATGACTACTTTTACAACCGCAATCACCCAAGCCATCCTCAATAATCTTTCATACATACTGGATAATTTATATTTAATGTAAAACAAAAAAAAGATACATTCTGAATTGCAAAGGCTCAATCATTAAAATAAATACTGAAATGGCTAGACTGCAATTACATGTCTGTCTTCTACCGAAGAGAACACACACACAAGCACTGAGACGCTCAAGACCGTATTTTGTCCTCTTAAATACAAAACAAACACAAACCATTGCAGTGTCAAAGCGCAGAGGCCAGGAAACAGTTTCGCTGTCATTCGACCACCACCGCCACCACCATAAATTCAGACATTCAAAAGTTATTTCATATAAAAGCAAATATTTTGTGCAGGAATTGTTCACATCGCTGCAAAACGTGTCAATGCTGGGGTGGATCCACGCAATGTTTTTTTTTTGTCTCTTCTCATTCTATGAAAATATTCCACCACAATTTCCAAACTGAAGTCTGAAAAATACATCTTATGTACACCAAGATTTTGCTTACAAAATATATGCATGTTAGCAAAACAGAGGCTGATTTTTATTTTTTTGTTACCAAAAGGCGTTGCATTCTGATGAGACACAATTTGTTTAATTCAGAGCGTGCCGAGCTTTGATGAAGAATCCTTTGGTAGCAAACGTAACATTCTTTCAAGCCAAAAATAAATATATGCTGGGAAAGGCCTAAGGCAGCTGGAGGACTGTTTACATTTGTGTGTGGGGGAGGGGGGGTCTCGGTCTTGCAAATGAGTAAAGGAAAACTAAAATACGCCATCAATGTTCTTATATTGAAACACCTATTTAAAAAAAAATAGATCACTGTAGTATTTCAACAAGTTTGTAACTAAAACCCTCCAACATTATTGCTGATCATCTTTTCTATTTTCCGTTCCTTTGCCAGCATGTTTCTTGATCATTTCCAGCTGTCGGAGTTAAAGTGTTTGGAAACACACGCATGACCGTGTCACAATGTTCTCTTTTGATCGACCGAGTCTATTCTTGCATCCTTTGACACTTATTTGGTTGGACTCGTCCTGGGCACAGCAGTTTTATGCAAAACAGCCAACGTGTTCATTTGTCCGAACACGTTCCGCTTCGAGGAGTCGAATGTCAACCAAAAGGCACAAAACTGGATGCTGCCTGTGCTATGTGTTGCATATTTGGAGACAATAATAATCCATGTCGTGGACTGGGGAGAGACACTCGACTATATTTTTGGTTTAAAAAAAAAAGGAAAACTCCGTTGAGTTTGAGTTTGTTTCCTGCTGTACATTATTGCCTACACACTATTTCAAATAAACACAGCTAGTCTGACTTGCCTTCAACCAGACATTTCTCATTAAAATGACTGGTTTATGTTTGGGTTTTTATGACTGATGTGTAGAACAGATGTGCGGAATAAATAAATAAGGTTTTCGTATTCACGAGGAAAACGTTAGGCCAAATAAGTGAAGACGCACCGACATCACTTCTCGTTGTTTGGCTTTGAAAAACAAAGTGCTTGAGGCAGGTCTGAGGGTGCTGAGGTCGGCGCTTCATTTGTCATTGTCCACGACCTGCCATACGATGAGGTGGCTGCGCTCAGCTATTGATAGCGGGGACTGAAGTTTCATTGGGGCATCCTCCACTTCCGCCGCTTCCACCTCCTCGTCCCCTGGAGACACAAAAAGATGTCATGTGGTCTTCTAGAACCACTGGAAGCTTTCATGCAGCTTTAATTTATTTTTTATTTTTTTCTTGAGTTCCCAGAAGTCTTACTAACATACGGTGGTGACTTATGACACAAGTGACTGACCTAACTTATGACTTGCTTTAACTTGCAAGCTCAAAATTGAGATACAAACGTTCCTGTGAACTCAACTCATATTTTACAACAGGGCATTTTGGCAAATGGCGATGAATATTAGCACCACACTCCGAGAAGCACTGAGATGTTATCATAACCCCCATTGAGTTCTACGAAGGACATGCCCTGCTGCAACCCAATTGGCTGCAAGGACTTAAGACCACAAGTGGAATTTCTTCAATTACAACTCAATGAACAGGCCGGGATATATGTGCCTGTCTTATACTGCCCCCAGGTGGCCTAATGGGGCACACCAGGAGCAGCATTTATTTGATGCAATGTGGCAAAAACTGTTTTTTTTAAAATTCTATTTAATTAAGAAATGAATGTATGTTTTTTTTATAAAGTACAATGTTATGAAGGTACTTTTCTTTCAAAAAATGCACCACAAAAAGCTTTGTGTTTTTAGGGGAAGGGGAGAATGGATGAATGGTATGTCCATTCATTTCAATGGGAAAAGCTGATGTGACATACAGTGATCCTCGAAACACAAAACGTGTATCTGTCTCATGGTTTCGTCATGTTTTGTAAATTACCCACTCTGTTGCCTAACAGTCTTGTTCACAGATGCATTTTCAGAAATAAGCAGACAATAGATTTATATCACACTTGATGATTGGGCCAGCACTCCAAAGGGGGGAAAAAAAAACATGATTTTCCATAATATTAACCCTTTCATGCATCATGTAGTAACCGCTGTCCCTGAAAGGGTTAAAGCGGAAGTCAAACCAAAAATTGCCTTTTGCAATTTTGTATGTGCCCCCACGTGTCGAACCATAGTATTCTGATTAAAATTGCGCAATGGAATACGAAATCAGCAGAAAAATCCATCGGTGTTTATATATTGCAGGGCGCTACCATTTTGGATGGGTAGAATTTTCTGCTCCATTCATATTCCCCGAACTCAATATTAACCAAATTCCCCATGTTTAATTTTGCAAGGCAAAACATGGTCTTGAACAGTAAACTCACCCATCCTGAAATCTATGTAGCCTTCCCCCCCACTCATCACCAACATCGACTTGTTTCCATCCTGAGATGGGGCGTCTGACGTCTTGTCATCTCCACAGCTGGATGTGGATGGAAGGGCATGACCTGAGACACATCAACACACAACTGGCTGTCAATTGTTGGGACTCCATTTCTCATGATCCACCAGTGCACCATCTGCTTTCCACAGGACAATACCTTTTTGTTTGTATATATCACTATACTCGTATAATCAATATTCCGTTACATTACAGCATTTAATCAATTTAAATCTGATTTATATATTTTTTGTACGATACTTTTTTAAAAAAATACTTTTTTGATCATTTGTCAGCAAGGTTATTTTTGGGATCATCCGTGTGGTGCAGTAATTTGATGTTTAGTCTGCATGCTTTCAGTGCTAACATGGCACTCATGCTCTTGTATAATTAATAATTGTAAGAATTAATTATACTGCTAAAGGCCTGTAGTTGTGGTGCCTCTTCTAACTTCCTGTTAGTGCGCAACAAAGACTCAGGCAGAAGTCTGTTACATCGAGCCTGAGATCAAATCTGTTTCCTGTTGATGTTATTTTATTGATTAACGTGCAAATTAAAGTTACGCCTTGTGATCATTTGGAAGGCTGGACTGAAGATGACTCGCATAAAGACAATGTACGGCAGGGTTTTTTGAAACAGAGCTAATATTTTTGGATGATGATTCATGCAAAGGGCGACAAGTTTGACACATATGTCCCAAATTAATTTTCTCAAATGATTTCACCGTTAGGCGGCTGGTGGGCCCAGTGGTGAGCGCGTCGACCTCACAGTGCAGAGGTCGTGGGTTCGACCAAGGCTCCGGCCTTCCTGTGTGGAGTTTGCATGTTCTCCCTGTGCCTGCGTGGATTTTCTCCAGGTACTCCGGTTTCCTCCCACAATCCAAAAACATGCGCATGGCAGGGTGTTCGATTGAACACTCTAAATTGCGGATGGTTGTTTGTCTCTGTGTGCCCTGCGATTGGCTGGACTGGTTCAGGGTGTACCCCGCCTACTGCCCCAAAAACAGTTGGGATAGGCTCCAGCACCGCCCCCCTCCCCTCCCTCCGCGACCATTGTGAGGATAAAGCAGATCGGAAAATGGATGGATGGATTTCATCCACACACGACAATGAAAATTACCAGATGACTTCCCCACAAAATAATTTGAGCAAAATTATTTTAACATGCATATCAAACTTGTAGCTCTTTACATTTTCTTTAAATAGTCATTTCTAAATTGACCACAATGTAAGTCTAATTTAAAAAAATCTAATCAAATACTAACAACCCCCTCAAAAAAAAAAAAACAAAAAAAAACAGATAGTGGTGAGCTATTATTAAAACAGGGCCAAAGTCTACTCATGTGGCTTACGGGCACCAAGTTGATGACTCCTTTTTGTTTACCTGGGACGGCGGTGAAGAACTTCACGGCATCGCGGTGTCCATGGAAACAGAGCTGCGCGTGGGCCATGGAGCAGTATGGAACAAATGTCCCTGCAGCTACTTTGTCACTGCTCTCATCACCGTAGATGCGAATCTCACTCCCTGGGTGGTTACCTGTTCCCTTCGTAGGCTTAGCTGCAAAAATGAACACAAGGTTACCACTACCCCGGTTTGCTAATCCAGAGGCACTGTCTCCGACGTCAATATGATGTCAAGACATGTCAACCAGGAGAGCTCTGCGACATCCAGAGCCATGAGGAACTCCGGGCGGATCTCATCCACCCCCGAGGCTTGCCCACAGAGGAGCTTTTTAACCACCTTGGTGACTTCAACCCCAAAAATAGGTGAGCCCACCACAGAGTCCCCAGACTGTGTTTCCTCAAAGGAAGGCATGTCAGTGGAACGGAGGAAGTCTTCAAAGTATTTTCCCACAAAAAGTCACAATTTAAAGTCAATAGTGTTAATGGTGCAGTGCTTCCCTGGTGGACCCATTATTCAGGGTTCCCACACTTTCTACAAAACCCGGAAAATGATTGACCAATTTTATAGTCATGGAAAGTGAGAAAAAAAATGTCCTGGAAACGCTCGAGTTGTCCTGGAAAATTGTTTTCCCTCCCTCTGTCTTGTGGGTAGACAGGGGGAACGTTGATGCTATTTGACTGTCGCCACTGGACAGCCCCGGGGCGCTTGTGTTTTTTGCACCTGCAATAGCCGGCATTTTTCACAGCCCCGTTTTGTTCAGTGGAGATATCGGCGCTGTTTGACAGTCTGCGTTGGTGCGGCTGGATGGATGGCTGGTGGAGCCGAGGTTGAGGAGAGAGGAGTGTCGGCGCGGAGCGTGGCTGTATATTTGGAACTGAGAGTTGCCGCTTGGAATTGAAGCGGATTTTACATGGGATGGAAGAAGTGAAGCGAACCGATCTCTTTTTTCTTCAATGGACGCTACAGCTTCTTGTTTACTTTCAGACTTTGCTTGTAGCAGACATGTGCACATTTTCAGCATGACGTCTCTGATCGACTGGTGAAAGGACACTTTGATTCTTCCTCTTTCATTCAGAACTGCTTCAAACAACAAAGTATATGCAGGAATAGTGGTTCCGAATGCATGACTGTCCATGTCTTATGTGTATTCATGTGTATTTATTATGTGTGATGAGTATTTTGTCATTTTAAAATTACCTCTTCTATAAAGTGCTTTGTTACTGCCGCAGCTGTTGTGAAAGTGTAAAATAAATAAAGATGTATTTTAGTGTATAACATTGAAACAATCTGGTTAAATGTACAATTGTAGAAAATAACATTTGTCCAAATTTTGGGCTCGAATTTATTAGTGTATGTTGTGATAACTTGACTCATTCTGTGACAGATGAAATAGTCCTGCAGAAGTCCCGGAAAAATTCTGCAAAATAATTTCAAGCAAAGATTGGGAACCCTGAATTTCCTCAAAGCCGTCCAGAAGTCATTTTGCATAGCCTTACTTAACTCCTCCCATCTATCAGCTATCCATTTATCGGTCTAAAAAAATCTGAGTTGGTTTACAGATGATAAAGTCAAGGTATCCACAAAAACACTAATTGATTACAGATTCAATTCAATACTCACTCTCTACGAGAGGGATCGAAATGATGACTCCGTTTCCAGTACCAATCCACAGACGGTTACATGACACCATGAGAGCCGTGATGCGCACAAATGAGAAGCCCAGTTTCCCCGTACCTGAAAAAGTGTGTAAATCATTGTAATACATTGCAACCCTGACTTTCCCAGAAACCTGTGTGCAATGGTGGCTTGATAATACATTGAAGACAATGAACCAACCCAACATCTTGCTGACATAAGGCTCAATGTCCACGTCCTGTAGGTGCTGGAAAGTGTGGGCGTGGAAGAGCCTGAGGGTGGAGTCCAGCCTGATAGATACCCAAATGCCGTCACCATCCCATGCCAACTGACGCACCTGGCTCTCCTTACGGGGGTGTGCATCAAATGACTTCTGCGGGGTCAAATTTACATCCATAATCGGGCGCAGAGTAAAAAGAACATTTTTTGTCATTAGAAACAGAAGTTTCAAATCCAAACAAAATTTATTCGCTGCCGACAACAAAATTAGGGAATGGAATTTTCTTTTCCATAATATATTTTTTGACTGACAGCTTCTACTCGGGGGTGACTACAAATAAATACAGTAATGTGTGTGCTCTCTTAAAATAATTAGCAACATGAATGTATTATGGATGAGAGAAAGTTCATTCTTTTCTGTCAAAATTCATCAACCAGAGGTTAAAAATTCTGTTAAAACAAAACAGCCAATGCAGGCAATGTGAAAACATGATGAAAGAAATTCTTTTCACTCCCATAGTTTGAAAACATTCAATAACCAGAAATGGAACATGAATGTTACTTTACCTCAATCTTCATAGCTTTGGGCTGCACCACATATATCTTATTTCTGAAACCACACCACACCTTGTCGTGCACCACAGTCATGCAGCGGATGGAGTAGTGAGGTTTCCCCAAGTCGAGCAAGTGGTAGTTGGTCAGATCCCACTGCCCATCTGGAACATTAAAAAAAAAAAATTTAAAATGGGAGAAAACAAGTTAACGGTGATTTTCGCAATGGAATTTTATGTCCGCTCACCAGCTCCACGGTGGAAGATGGCTAACGTGCCATCAGACAGGCCAACCAGGACACGCCCTTTCACGTGTCTGTGACCGGAAAAAAAACAAAAAAACAAAAACACATCAAACGTTAGGTTGGCAGAGCTTTTCAGTTAGCAAATCTAAATGAACTTACACGATGCCGAGTACAGAGTCTTTCAGCTTGACAGAATGGAGACACTTTGTCCATTGTGACACAGAGGAGTGGACATACACACTGGAGAAATACAACAAACACACAGATTGAATTTCTGCTCACAAAACAAAATATAAAATGAACGTCAATTGATTCTCACCATCCGTTCTGTGCCCCAAGCCACATCGTGGGCAGGACGCTGCTCATCTTCTGAGCCTCTTCTCTCATCAGATCCTGCTCCTCAGCAGTGGAGTTTGAACTCATGCCAGCTTTTACCAGGTCACACTCTCGACTAAGCAGGGAAATCAAGATTGCACTCAAGATGTCAAATGTCACTGTAAGAGTTCTGGTACATTTTTTACATGTGTGGCGTGATTGGTGGTAATTAACCCTTTCATGTACCAATAATGATAACCTGTCACCTGATGACATAAGATGTCCACTGCAGTAACCACTGTCCTTGAAAGGGTTAATTAGGGTAGCTTGGAAAAAAAATGACCAAGAGCTGAAAAATGCACCTCTATATTGAGACGTTTCACTTGTTTGGCAACATTTTCAAAACACGGGTACGATCATGATGGGTCATACGAGACGCAATGTGTGTAATTCAATTTGGACAACGAGAAGGACGCAAAGAAAACAATGCCGTGGCACTGCATAGCAAAGAATTGCAAGGGGTTGTATTTTTCAAGAGCATTAAGTGGGAGGTGAGTTTAACTGCCCGAGGGAGAATCAGTTTTTTTCTCAAACCTTCTACCATTGCTGGCCTTGTGGGCGCTATGTCCATAATGTGAGCGGAGTCTGCGCTCTGATCAGGAAGGTGCAGAAAACTGAGGTCTTTTGGAATTCAGGAGTCACTACTTAAGACCTTTTATGACTCTGTGGTGGCCTCAGCCATTTATTATGGCATAGTCTGCTGGACAGGCAGCATCTCAGCCCGGGAAAGAGAGAGACTGGATGGACTGGTCAAGAGGGCCAGCTCTGTCCTGGGCTGCTCCCTGGACACTCTGAAGGAGGTGGGCAACAGGAGGATGCTAGCCAAGCTAAAAGCTATGATGGACAGACCCCCCCACACCTACCAGGCCACCCTGACAGCACTGGGCAGCTCCTTCAGCCAGAGACTGATACACCCGCACTGCAAGATGCATCCGCCGCTCATTCCTGCTGACTGCTGTCAGGCTATTGAATAGACAGACGTGAAAACCTGGACTTACCCCCACTCGCCCATTTTTAATATGCTTATATTTACATTTGATAATTTATATACTTTTGTTCTTCTACTTCTCCTTTTCATAATTTTGCTGCTGTAAATTGGGAATTACTCCATTGTGAGACAAATAAAGGTTTTCTTATCTTAAGTGGCTGAGACACCAGACCAAAAGCAGCACTCTGATCTTCATGCACGCAAGGTAGGAGAACAGTAATTACGGCATTGTCCATGCTTGTGTAGTGAAGTGTGGCAGACATGTCTGCCACACTTCTTGGTCTACGAGTTCTCCAAAGTGTATTTTGCATCTTTCAAATCAAAATTGTAATCTCACTCAGGAGACTTTTTTTTTTTTTAAGCATTAACTGGAAATGATAAGGCTTCATTTTTTTCAGGATTAAAACTTTGGATGTATTCCACTCAGTGCAGTTCTGTGTCTCTATCTCTGTGCAGTCCAACTTTTACACGTGCTTATCACATGACATGCTTAATGAACATGGCTGCCAGCCATATTATTTTTTAAACTTGTTTCTAAAGTTATTAAAAGTACATGAAAAATAAGATTATTCAATTAATAATCAACAAAGTATAAACTTTTTACTGCTGCAAATGGTGAACATATCTGGAGAATCCCTTTAAATATGTGGACTTCACTCGGTCTGCACATGCAAAGCAGCTCAGATGAATAGTCCTACCAGAGCGCCTTACAATAGAAACGGCAGGACTGACACAGGAATGCTGAAGGACATTCGCTAAATTCTGTGCAAAACCAGGACAGCAGCTCCACCGTTTGGCAGACTAATCCGCTTCCATTTTGTGGTCGATTGATCATTTTGCAGCGCAGATTAGGCCCGGTGCAATGCTAGTGGCTTGCGGCTGATGACCGGGGTTGTTCTTCACCCTTTCAGGGACAGTGGTTATTAAATACAATGGACAGCTTACCATGTCATCAGGTTACAGGGTGGCATGAAAGGGTTAATCACGCTGATAGCATAGTTGCATTGCATTCATATTATCTAAACGTTGAAATCAACCATCGGAAGACAGTGACGTGAAGACTTTTACATCACTTTGACGTTTATTGACACACCTTTTGGGTTATTCACCAGATTACCTTTGAGAGGACTTGGTGGAAGCCTCTGCTGTCTGCTGCAGCCCCAAAGGATCAGTGAAGGCATATTCACTGTATACTCCTCTCTGACGGGCAGACCCTCCACTCTCCTCAGTGGTTTCTACAAAAGTCACAACCGTTAGTAAAGGGGAGTTGGCGATGAAAAAGGTGAACTCGCTTACCCATTTCTCCGTTTTCTTTGCCTGCACCGTCTGCTGTCTGAGGGACAGCCGTTGCTCCCTCAGCTGTGCAGCCTACGACAGTGATGCCTCCAAGCACGCCATCACTGCTGGCTGTGCTGCTACTGCTGTTGGACAAACAGGCCTTTTCGACAGGCGCAGTCTCTGAACTCAAGGTGAGTTCCTCACCTGCTGGATAGTCCGTCTCTCTTGCACCTGAAAAAAAATGTTTAAAAATGTAGTGGATCAATCTGGGAAAATAAATGGGGGACTCATTTGAGGACATGGCACGGCATGGCACCTTTGTTAGTGAACTGAAAAAAATAAGTGTCAATGACCACCCTTTCAGATGAAATTCCAATCCACCCGTTAGAAACTGGAGTGGGCTACGTATGGGCCGCGTTCTTTAATCCCGCCTCGTGCACTCATTATCATAAAGTGCTTTGGCTGAGGGCCTTCTGATCGTTCCAAAGTGGAGACCTCAAATGAAGCATTCTCCATCAGTGTCTCGACCAGAAGGCTATGGGAATTGCGGTTTTCTGAAAAAGTGTTAGAGATTGAATTTTCTTTTCATTTCAGGTAAACTGTATTGATTTTTTTTTATTTACTATATTCATGTCTGATTAAAAAGTTGGTAAATTGATTTTGATCATTTAAATAGGCCTTATTAAATATTGCAAAAACGTCAGTTAAGGTAAATTTCTTTTTACACACACAAAAATTTATTTTTCCGATTATATCTTTTTCACGTTACATCCATTTATCAAAGAATTTTAAGATATGATTTGAAGCCTTCGTTAATTTGATCACTTAGGAACGGTATCTCAAGATGGTCATGTAGGTATGGGTCATGAAGTCGAATATCATCCAAGAGAATGCGCAAATTCTGGAGACAACCTAAGTGACATGCAAATGTGAAGTGGACTCATCCAATATTTGAATTTTTTTTTTATTATTAAAAAAATGAAAAGTGGGTCATGCAAAGTGATTAGCTACCCTAAGTTAATATGTTGTAGAGCCATCTTTTTACAGTTATAAGTTTTTGAGGGTGCGACGATCAGTTTTGCACATCTAGAGACTGATTTGTTTTTTTTTTTGTCCCATCTTTCTCAAGCTCAATATGGTTAGATGGAGAGTGTTTGGAAGCAGATTTTTTTTTAAGATCATTGCACAAATTCTCAATTAGATTCAGGTCTGGACTTTGAGTTTGCCATTCTAACACCTGGATATGTTTCGTTTTGCATTGTTCCGTTGTAGATTTTGCTTTATGTTTAGGATCATTGTCTTGTAGGACGGTAAACCTTCGTCACAGGCTCAATGCCTCACGAGATGTGTAAATCTTTTCATATTCTAATCCTGCTTTAAAACCTCTTCACAACTTTATCCCAGTCCTGTCTGGAGTGTTTTTCATGATGCTGTGTGCTCCCCAATATTCTAACAGACCTCTGAGACCATCACCGAGCAGGTGCATTAATATTCAGATGAGATTACACACAGACGGACTCAATTTATCATCATCATTCATTTAGGTCAACGATGGATTAATCTGCAATTGTCAGTGAACTTCTGGAGTGAGCTGGCTGCACTCACAGTCAAGGGGCCGAATAATATCGCACTTTTTAGTGTGTGTGTAGGGGGCGGGGTCGACACTTCACAATTGTGTGCCACTTGGTGTTGATAACAAAATAAAATCTTATTTCATATCTTTATGTTTCAGGCCCGACATGTGGCTAAAGGTCAAAGAGTTCAACGAGGCCGAATATTTTCGCAAGCCACTGTATTTTGAAATCGTGTGATTACGTTTCCTTCATAACAAGAATAAGATGTTCTGACGTTTTCACATAATTACGCGATAGTCCTATTGATCCATCCATCCGTCCATTTTCTGCTCCACTGATGCTAACAAGGGTCGCGGGGGGTGCTGGAGCCTATCCCAGCTGTCTTGGGGCAGAAGGCGGGGGACACCACAAACTGGTTGCCAAGCAATTGCATAGCACACATCCGCGTTCACACTCCCACCAAGGGACGATTTAGAGTATTCCATTAACCTGCCATGGATGTTTTTGGAATGTGGGAGGAAACCGGAGTACCCGGAGAAAACCCACGCAGGCACGGGCAGAACATGCAAACTCCACAACAGGAAGGTCGGAGCTGGAATCGAACCCTTCACTGTGCGGCGGACGTGCTAACCAGTCAACCACGGGGCAAGTCTTATCTATTTATTTTTGCGGCAGAAATTCACTATTGTATTTTCCCTAACGTTACAAAAACACAATTTACTAGTTCTATAAAAATACTCGGCAACAGACCTGGAACACTGGTGATACAAAGGACGTGGGCATCACACACAATGAAGCTGTCAAGGATGATTCCGGGCTGGTTAGCATCAATGACAACAGCTTTAGTAGTCGACTGGGTGCTGGTACAAATCCACACCAACGATGACAATTCATCATGTTGTCGCAGTTCCTTTTGCTGTTCCTTTTCATATCAAGCAGAAGAGGTGTGCATGTTTTCAGTTGAGTCATTGTTATTTTCTGTGTTTTGAGAAAAAGATTGTAGCCAACACTAGGGGACTCTAACCTTGAGTTCTTGATCCAATTTTTCCAAGCTGCTCTGAGATCCTGTTTTCTTTTTGGGGCTCTCTGGTCCTGACACGTTGCTGTAAAATACACTGGCTCCTACGATGGAACCCCCATCTCTGGTTTTACCTCCAGATAAATGCACGCCAGCAGCACACCACAGCTGAAGCACAGAAACACAAGTTCGCTCAAACACATGAACAAGT